TCATCAACCACCTTGGCAGGCGAGTGAAAAAGTTAATTTCCACCCCTGCTTTCAACTCGTGAAATCAAAAAAAAGCCTTTGACATTAACACCAATGCCTTGTGACTTCTCTTCTCTTGGACTTTAGTCATTTTAAATAACAATTGACACCAAGGCACCTCTGATAATTTTGCTCAAGTAAAGATTACGTACTGTATTATTAAATGTGGCAAAGGTCTGCTTTTGTACTGTTAGACGTCATGGCCTGAGATTGAAACTTACCTATCACTTACAAAACAATGATAATATTTTTGCCATTACAAAAAAAAGGTAATTAAGGGCTCATTTAATGGTAAAACCTTGAAACAACTTTAACAGAATCTGCCAGTAGATTAAAAAAGATTAAAACAAATCAAAAAAAGCTACAAGCATTAAGAGACTTTGAATGGAAATAAATGTAGGAAACAGTTCAGTGTGTGTTGTTAAGAAAGTGGACGACAGTGACTCTCACACACACACACACACACACACACACACACACCTCTAGCACCCCTACAGCTGCTCTGGACAGTTTAAACTGCTGCTCGCTATGAAAGGTAATTCCAGTGAGGCTGCACTCTTACCGTAACACACATTAATTCTCAGCTGTCTGCAAACGTTGCACTCACAGTGGTGTGTAACGTAGGTGGTGAATCTCGGGGGATGTTTTAAAAGATCGGATTTAGTTTGACTGGCTACTTTTGATTTGCATTTATGCTCATTTGCATGAAATATTTATGTCACACTTGGAACAAGGACAAAGACTGAGTCTGACGGACTGAGGGCAGCTGAAATTTTGAAATAGCTATATGCTAAAATCAAGCTACTTTAAAGTTGTCTCGAAAAAGCTGCACTCTAATAATCAATCACTGCTATAACACTGACCCGGTCTAATTATTTAAAACTCTGACAGTGCATCTCATCAATATCTTAACACAAAATGCACTCTGAACACTTTGTCGAAATGATCATTATTGACTGGCAATGCCAGAATCAAAGCTTTTAAAGTTTTTATGTCAGGAGTCAAAAAAAAAAAGAAGATGTACAGGAAGATTGAAATTTCCAAATCCATTGATGACACTTCCCAAAGATTCAGATAAGGAGAGTTAAACTTTCTAGACAACAGTAGTTAATTCATTTTTGAACCAATTAAAACATGTAGTTACCTGAAGATCAAAAGCATTCAAAGTACAGACATGTATTTCATTGAGTATAAGGAACTACCGCTGTTAGTGTTGACAACATCATGTGCCGCACGGCTAATTAAATAATAACATGTATTTTAATCTTTTTTAGGTCAAATAAATTAACTAACCCCCCCTCAAACAAACTACACAAGTCTGTAAGGTCGCTGTCTGACACAACAGAGAGAAAACGACATCCACTCAAGAGTTATAGATCTTATTCACCCTTTCAATGAACCTTGAGATGCACTTAGGGGTTGTTTCCAGCAGCCGTATATCAAAGCTAACAACAGTGCAGATCCTCTGTAGAGGAGCCTGGCAAGACTTTGACTCCCAGTACTGCCCCCTAGTGGAGGGAGGGGTATGAATGTGTGAAATATAACCACCGAAATGCTTATTTGATGGGACATTTGTAAATATATCACTGCCTCTGTTAATACTACCAATACAACTACTACACCTCATTATTTTTTTAATAAATTCATTCATTTTTTATTCAATAAAATGCCAGAAAATGAACAAAAAAAGGTCCATTTAAAGCTCCCAGAGATCAAAGTAATCTCTTTTCAAATCTTGTTTAGTTATAGAAACAATCCAAAGATATTCAAATTACGATGATGTTAAAATAAGAGAAAAGCAGCAAATCCTCACATTTGAGAATCTGGAAACAAAAAATATTCTGAAACAATCAAGTAACTGTCAACAGTAGTTTGTTTTGGTTGACTCTTAATCAGTGGTGAACGAAGTGAAAGTACAGATACACTTGCTAAATATTACTCCACTTCAATTTAAATGTCTACTTGAGTCAAAGTACAAAAGTACCTGCTTTAAAAAGTGTCAAAAGTACTATGAAATAGTAAGCAACTGTTTTAGTTGTTGAGAGGGAGCTCATTTTTAGCTATTTGGTATTGGAGTGCAATGATTATTTTCATTATGGATCAATCTGCTGATTATTTTCTCAATCAATCGATTTTTGAAAATTGACCAGTAAACCAATGGTATTTGATTCAGCTGCCCAGAAGAAAAGCAGCAAGTTTCTGGGGTAGAGAATCCTCACTCTGACGTCGCTGTCGTTCGCTGTGTTCGCCGAGTGTTCGAGCCCTCTGCTATCTGAATGACAGGGTTCAGCAATCAAAGAATTTGTTGACCCTCCCTCCCCTTCACTCACCTCTCTTCTGCTGCTTCACCTTCCATCCATCAAATGCCACCATCCATATTAAACCAGCGCTTTTGACCACCAGAAAATCCTCTCCATAGTAAACACCAATAAGTATCGCTTGCAAGTATTTTCATTAATGAATATACAGTGAAAATGAAAGTAGCCTATATTATATTATCTGCAGTGTTTGTGTTGAATGCTTCTCCAAAATGTTCAGTGCCAATATTTTAAACTAGTTATTCCAAATATTGTCCCTAATATTATTATCACCTGTGCAGTGATTTGGTGTCTGATACGACTGGACCGTCCTTCCATCTCTCAGTTTTTTGTTGTTGTAATGTTTCATAGGAGTTGTTTGCGAAGACGTCCAACTTTGTCATTAAAGGTTGGTTCCAACATTTCCTGACTTTTTGTTTCACACGGGAAACACCGGTCTCCTGGTTGAAAGTCTGGTTTCTGTCCCACCCATCCACCCCAATCACCTTCTTTTAGTCTGACTTTTAGATTAATTATCCTTCCTATGCTATCCTTCCTTCAGTGTTCATAAACAACACTACAGGGCTTCCCCAGTGCATTACAAACTGACGCCAACGGGTCTCGGCCATGCACCCATAACTGACAGCTTGTGAGAACGGGTTGGACTTTTCACTGCAAAATATGACCGTTACAGCAGTTCCTGCATTAGCACTGAACGTTGCTAAATCACTGATGAGCATGGAGTGTGGTGGTTTGAAAATGGTAGAAATACAGCAGTCCCTCCTCACCGGAGAAATGGTCGTACAGGTCGATGTTGCAGCAGCTTATTACGACCCATATTCTAAGTCAGGTGACGTGGTTTAAAGAGGTGGTGGGGTGGATGGATGAGTCAAGTAAACTCAGGAGTTTCAATCAGGAGATTTTGGTAAACGTTCATAAATGTCGTATTGGGATACTTGAAAATCTACCTATTTAGTGGTTTAGGTATGAGAGAGGTATGAGAGAGAGAGAGATGTCACTATTCGCAGTTTTTAAAATGTCATTTTCCAAAACTTTCCATTCCAGAGGTAACAAAAAATTTGTTTTTGTAACTTGACTCTTCCAACATGTCAATGCCCCACTTTTAGAACAGGGTGTGAAAATGTATGGAAGTAAAATTGCTCCTTACGTGGATGACTTTTTTTTTTTGCAATAAATTAATTTCATCATTTAATATTATAATATTCCAGGTATTCATTAAATATCTTGTTTTTGATGACCACATGTAATCATTTTTATTTTTTCCTTTCTTACTTTGTGAACAAACATTTCTACATCGATGTCTGCATTGAATTTGATAGGAACTTTTAATATTTGGATATGGTTGCACTTTGGAATTTCACCTGCCACACACCTACAATTCAACACAGCTGCTTTTGTACGTCTGGCATATGTAAGTCTTATTTTACAATTGTTTTGTTTTACCTACACTCTAAGAAATGATTCATGGGGTTAAAAAGTCCAGCTTAAAAATTAAGAGCTTTTTTACTATTAAAAATTAAGTTTGTTAGATGCACTTGTTTTATTCAATTGATAACTTATTTTAAGAAGTTGGCCAAACATAAAATATAGAAATCTGCGTTTATAACTGCCTACATGTCAAAAAACTGTATTTTCACAACGCTAAAATCTGAATTATTCTCCTAAACTAATTCAGTGTTAAAGATGGTAGAGTTTTAGCTAGCTCCTACTAGTTAAGTCCCAGTTGTTTTTGTGATTTGTTTCACAAAGGCAGCCGAATTATCTTGATTCGCATTGAACCTCTTAAGCATTCGTTTAACACTGCAAAGGTTAGCAAATACGCATTTAGCTTGCTCTTAATTTAAAATAGACAGGTTTGGTCTGCAACAGCCACTGGGGGGGTGCAGATTTACATTCATGATTACACAATATAGGTTACACCACATATTTCGGTGTGACATTTTTGAATGTTGATGTTTAAGCTGTAATATTTCAGTGAGGTTTAAACTGATTAATTGATCCACAGTTTTTGTTTAGTTTTTATTCAGTGGATTCAGCACTGTGCAAAGGTGGACTGTAAAGCTGGCACCACGTTTTATAAACGCCATTGTTGCAACATGTGCGTTTGTCCTGTGTGTGTGCTAGTTATCTGTAAGTTTGAACATTTGAATCTTGTATTATTTTGGAGATATTTTTTTGATTTGGCATTACAACATTCTAAGTAGTTATAATGGCTTTCTTTAAAATGATTACTGTATTATTTGAAACAGCCCAGGCCTCATAAACCTTTTGTAATTTTTCAATCCTCGTGGAGGAGCACTTTAAAAATGTTTTTCTTATTAACAGGATGATTCCGTGGAAAGAAGGAGAGAGGTTGCGATCCAAGGCTTAGTTGTGTATTTCTGAGAAAAGGAAGTGGATCTCTTCAAAGAGCAGCTGGTGTTGTGGTGGCAGCCCGGCCTGGTTTTTTCTCCCTTTTTGTCCTGGTTTTTTCTCCCTTTTTGTCTGTGATTCTGTTTTTTCCCTGGTTTTCTCTGTTCTCTGCCTGCATCCCTGTGTGTGCTCTCTCTCTCTCTCCTCTTGAGCCCAGCCAACGACCTGGACCTGCATCGCGTCAACCTCCTCCTCTGCCTGCCACACCTGCCAGCAATCAACTCCACCTCTGCCAGTACTTCAACCCCGGTTCTCCACACTACCTCTGCTTGATCGTCGTTGCTCCTTACCCGGTGCCACTTCACCATTCAAGCTCACGCGTATTCAGCATCTTTTCAATTTCCCTGTGCTTTGTCTCCGCTGTGTCTGACCCTGTTTTTCTGTTTGTCTCTCCCCAGGTTCACTCACCCTCATCTTCAGTCAGTCAGCTGGGCTCGCTCACCTGTCCTCTCCCCTTGGACTTCCCCCACGGCATCCTCCCAAGTCTCCCCTGCCTCCTCTCTTCCTCGGCCCCTAGTGTTCCCCGGCTCTCTGGTCTCAGTCTCCTCGGTTCCCCAGTGCCTGCGTTTCCCTCCAGTCCCTCAACCCCATTTTTCCCCAAATAAAACCTGTTAATCCCCAGAGTTGTGTTTGGGTAAATCAGGCACTTAAAGGTCCAGTGTGTAAGATTTTTGGATGCTCTGTTTGCGGAATATGAAAGAAATGGAATATAATATTCAGATGGAATAAGAGTTTGCAGCCGCCACAGTTGTTCCTACACACATGGAAGGACAAGTTGTTTTCATTTAGTTGCAATCTGCAATTTCATCACTAGATGCTCCTAAATCCTACACCCTGGTTAATTTCAGACACACACACTATAATTTGTGTGTTGTGTCATTTTTAAAAATGAGAACTTAAGACACTGACATTTATTCTGACATTACTTATGCCAGGATGGTGGTGGAGATATTACCATTGAAGATCCTTGTAACCAGAGGTGCCAACCTGTCTGAGCCAGCTAGTGCAATGGTTGTGATTGAGGGAACAGAAGTTGTGAAAGACCTGGATGTACCCAGAGCTTGTGCCTTTCTAATAAAGCTGATATATGCACTCCAAACACCATATCCAAAGAACTGAAAAAAAACATTTGAAAAGTTTCAAAAGGTATTCCTTGAGCTGGATGGTCTGAAAGTCAGTCTGAAGGTAAAGACCACTCTAAAAAGTAAACTTCTATCCTAACAATACCACAAGAAACGGCTGCACCTGTTTTATGTTGTGTGTTGTTGAGCAAAATACAGCAGCTGTAATGTGTAGTTGGTACTGGTTACAATAAAGTTTGTTGAAACTACAATTGCTATGTGTAATTTCTTCTGACTTAAGTGAAATAAGTTGATTATACTCGGAAAAATTAAGGTAACAATTTGCATTGACATATCTGATTGAAAGTAAAACAAAGAAGTTTGAACTAATATTTCGACCACTAAATAACACCAAATCCTTAACATTAAAATTAAGTTGGTTCAACTTGATTAAGCTATGTAGATGACAAATCACGTTGGTTATTATACTAATTGAGTTAGTCTAACTATAAAAGACTCGAGACATACTCAAATGGTTTGAGTTGGAATTACTTAAAGATCAATGCAAATTGTTACCTTAAATTTCTTTAAGTAGAGCCAGTGCATTTATTATTTTTTGAGTATTTTTGAGTGTATGAAAATATTTGACATCTTGTGAAAGTTAACTGTTAATACTATTTAAACATTAGGTAAAAGAGTTAGTTGTAGTGTTCTGGATGTTGCCACCGTCGATGCCTACACCAACGCTGTGTGGCCAATGCATGGCGGATATTCATCAAGGAGCTGGACAAAGAGCTTGTCATGCCACATATGAAGAGGCCCGCGGCACGCCCCACCTCCAATTGCATATTACAGATGCAGTGGGAAAAAAAACAAACAAAATGCGGCCGCATCCCAGCCACAGGAGGATGTAGAGGGAGAGGTGCAAGGTCTGATCAGCTGTCAAAGACAGAAAAGTCAGCAGCGTGCAAGGAGCATTTTGATGTCCTTTGTGAGGCATGTATGCATATTTACCATTTCACTACAGTTACATTACAGTTCAGAGACATATCTAATGTGTGACACGGTGACAAACATATTTCAAATATCAAACGTGACACTGTTTGATCCAAATCACTGCTAACATAAGTATTTTAACAAAATTATTTTTATAAGAAGTCTTTATTTAAAAAGAAATCACACTGAGCCAAGCATGAAATAACATAGGAAATGAATAAGGGTAATTTTGGGGTTTGGATAGCATGTGCATCAAAGGGTTAATAGACACTGAGACACTAAGATCACGCAGGGATCAGATAATTTTTGCCCCTTTGCCCCTGCTCGCTGCCTCCCCTACACACTCACTTGTTGCTCCATCACCAACCTCCACCTATCCGTCTCTCACTATCAGCTGCTCCCTGCTGCCGTTGTTTTGAGAGGTCAGAGCTGTTTGTTTGCTCGGAGGCCCGTCGTCTGATAGCATGTGTCGGACTACGCCTGCCCCTCCCACCTCATCTTAACCTGAGCCGTTATCAGCCGACTCCCCGGCAACTCCAACCTTGTCTTTTAAAAGGAACACTTCCCCTGGAAATTATGGAGAGACTCTGGCAGATAGACGCTGCCTCTATCTGTCATGGTGGAAACCTCAGGACAGACAGGATGACACTCAGAGGCCTTGCACGTACCCCAGGTTCAAATCCATCTCAGGCCCCGTCTACACAGGATTCTCTCATTTAGTATAATTGAAGTGCATCCTTTTTAGTTTTTACCACTTTTCACTGAAACATTTTTTTGGGGAGCAGATTTTAGCATGGCTGAAGTTTATCGGAAACAAGGTGTTGGGAACAGATCTGAGAAAGTCCCAGAGGTTGCGATTGCACACAGAAGAAGAAGTATAAGTATGTTTTATTCATTTTTAATAAAAATGTAATTGAATCCAAGTGGGGGGAAAAAAAGCCAGCAGATATTTTGCCAGTCTCAGTTAAATGTCGTGATTGTTGTTTGCGGTTAGTTTCACAACGTCTGTGTTTGATTTGACACGACGCTCTCTTTACGCATGTACATACATAGTGAACAATACATGTAAGAATATTAATGGAAGATCTGAATTGACACAGAGTAAGGCTTTGAGCGAAATGCTAACATCAACATGTTGCTGATGAAGATGTAGCAAGTATAATGTTTACCATGTTAGTATGCTAACATTTGTTAATTTGCGCTTAACACAAAGTACTAACCTCAGTGGGGTTAAATAGCTGAGTTTCCCTGCCAGTCAGTCAGAAGTCCTTTGGATGAGGGACGAAACGTCTTCCAGTATCTTCAACCAAGTCCAGTTGCCCTTGATTTTAACCTTCGTTGGATAACACAAAGTACAGTTGAGAATATTGGGAAAGTGATGGACAAATAGTGACCTGAGGATGGCGCTTGAGAAAAAGTGAAGGGAACACCAGAGTCAATAGGATTCATCCTCTGGGAACCATTAACTTCTGTACTAAATTTCATGACAATCCATCCAATAGTAATTCAGGTATTTCCATCAGGACCATAGACCAACTGAGAGACGTTACCGTGACCATCAGTAGACCCACTAGCATGCCTAAAAACTGAGGTACAAACTGAAAACTGTTCATTTTTAGTATAACTGAGGTCCCGGGGTGGTGGTGGCGTATAGAAAAGATGCTTGCCTTTGGTGTGGCAGACCCGTGTTCAATTCCCACTGTGAAACATCCACCATTGTGTCCCTGAGCAAGACACTTAACCCCTCGTTGCTCCAGAGGCGTGCGACCTCTGACATGTATAGCAATTGTAAGTCGCTTTGGATAAAAGCATTAGCTAAGTGAATAAATGTAAATGTTCCGCTGCATTTTTGGATTAAAATGGAGATCTTTGGCTACGTTTGCACCAAACAAACAAAGACCTAACACAGAGAAGTTTGGAAACGCTGCCGATCCCGTTTTGCGTAACAGTAACAGTCCCAGCTCGTTATTGGTGCATGCAAAAAAGTCTGGTCTGATTCTTTGTCTGCATTTCTTTATTCTTTCGCCAAATCTTCTGTAACTACGGAATAGACTTCATGTTTACACCGGCACGCGCACCCCCAGTGTTCCTGATCGGCCAATAGTTTTAATGTAGACTTAGATCACCTCTGACATGCAGCTAAAACACTGGTGTGGATGGAGATCTTTTTTGTTTTAAAACTCAGTTTGTAAACTGAAACGGAGTAATGTGGATGCGGCCTGAGTCATGAAAAACTTTTATTCCAAAAAAAATACATTGCAACTTTCATCCCAATTTGGTTTTTTGAAAAATCACAAAAAAGGCCCTTGAAATCCTGGAGGCACTGATAAAATATTAAAGACAGAGCTACACAAGGCAAAAGGAAATCACAAGCATAACAATTTAAGACTAATAAGGCACTAAATAGTTTTCAAGTTTGATAGTAATCATCAAAACAATAAAAATGACGTTCTTCAGTTGTGTCGAAATTTTAAATGACACAAATCCTCTTTTCGGAGACCTCCCTCACTTCAGCACGAAGTCCTCTGGAAGTGCAGCCACAGCAGAAGTGTGACCACGGCAGAAAAAAAACAACCTGGGATAAAATTACTCCCCCAACACTGGATCAAACCCTGCCGGGGAGGGGAGTGCCGACCACCTGATTAAGCAACATGGAGGAAATGAGAGAAGCAAGGGGGTCCATTTTCTTCAGGAGTGGGAAGGAAAAACTGAGAAGAAAGAATGGGAGGGGATGAACGTCAGGGGGTTGAAGGTGGGATAAGCTGTGTACATATGTGTGTGTGTGTGGGGGGGGAGGCTGGAGGGTATGCGGGGTTAAAGTCACAGATTTTAAATCAGTTCTTTTGCCTTTAACGGCCGCCACAGAAGCCCAGTATGAGAGAGCAGAACAAAGAGGGCAGCAGTGGCCTTGACCAATTAACATTCCTGCAGCCTTTATGGGCCGCCTGGACCCGCCCCTTCACTCACACCTCATAAAAGTCACAAACATCAATTCTTGCAAACCATAACTGTCATTATAATCCCATTAAAAACAACCCACTGAGCAATTTACAGTGAACACCAGGGCCAAGTGTGCCAGCAGAGGGGAGGGATCGCCTCCGCTGGAATGCAAACTGGACGAAACAAATGGAAAAGTTTATTGGGAGTAATTTGAGAAATTAAGACATGATAGTGACTCCGTGAGATTACTGTGCAAACTGAACAACAGAAAATGAGGTAAAATCTCTCTCCTCCAGCCTTTTTTAAATTTAATGGGTTTTGGCAAACATGTAGCTGACCACACAGTACAGATGTTGTCATTTAAAGCTGCATTAATCAATATCTGGACACCAGAGGGCAGAAAATCACTAAGCTGACAAATAAACAGCCACCACTTACAAAGTAAATCAAATGTTCACTCTCCTTTCGCTCTGGTTTGGTCTCCGTCAACTCTTGACAAAAACATCAGGCTCTTTCTGCTGTTTGGTCCTCGGCAGGTAGTGTACAGTTTTTTTTTTTTTTTTCTTTAGTGGCAGCCTATGGAAGTAGATAGCTGAAACTTTCACGCTGATTTTAAAACCAAAACAATGTGCTAAAAGTGGCTAAAAAGCAGAGAGAAGAAACTTCTAACATTAGCATTCAGCTCAAAGCACAGGTGAGTCTATGTAGCCTAAACTCTGTCCTCAGCAGAAAAATGAAAAACAAATGAAGTGACATAGTATAAAGAGCAACAAAGTCCATATAAGGAGGTGAATGGATGGGTCAAACATACAAAGACTTGAATCCAGTCCAACAGTCTTGTGTGAAAGTTCATTTTCGCTTATTTAAAGATTTAGGTTAAATAACGTTACATTTTATGCAACATACTCATTTTAACACAAAGCACAATGTTTTCCTAAACTTAACCAAGTAGTTTTGTTGCCTAAAGCTAGCCCAACTGCAACAATTTGTCATGACCAGGCTCAAAGGCCATGACAAAAAGTGGGAAAAGATACAGCGATTTAATTTACAAGGTTTATTGTAACATAAGATAACCAAAATAACGCTTAAATTATGGGATGGGTTAGTCAGCAAGATCAGTAGTGTCAGTGTGGATGGGTGATCATGATGTAGAGTGTTGTGGTGTCCAAATAAAGCAAACATGTAACAAAAACCTAAAGGTGTAGCCGCTGGCGGGGAGGAAAAGAGAGTCGTGATCTCGGAGATGGAGCTTTTATCTCCTGTGGAGCACTGGGACCAGGGCTACATCCGAAAAAGTCAAAACAATCTCCTTTCCTCGACCTCGATGGAAAACGTC